CTTCGAAAAGCGGTTCGTGAATTCGAAATTGTGCTGGCTTTAAACTGTTCTCTAATTCAATGCTACTGTCTAACCTGTACAGTGGCCCGGAGTTCAGTATTGCCTTGATTTGCACTAGTGACGTACTTATTTTCTCGTACGTTAGAGTGCGTTCTTTTACTATTTTGTTTTGGTAATTTTTTACTGAATCTACTGAATCTACCCCCGTTCTTTGGATTCCTCCGAAGTGAGGACTTGCCAGAGGGATAAGGTGAAATTGTGGTCTTTCTAATTTTAAACCAACAGTATTTGGCTTAACTGCAGTTGTCTTTTTTACAGACACACTTTGTGCTGCTTGTACAGTGGAATTGGACATTTTCTCGATCTTTAAATTTGCCTGTTTGTATTGTGATTTTGAAGTTACTTTTTCATTCGTTAATTGGACGAAGTCTACACCTACGAGCTCAGGGGTTTTTATACATTGGACTGAGGATAATTTATCGTGACATTCTTTGGTGTCTGTTTCCTCAGAAATTCCTAATTGTGGTTGTATAGTAATAGAAGAAGAAGTAAATGTCTCAGCACCGACAAAATCATATTTTTCTTCGAACTTTAAATCTTCTGATTTTGGGACCAATCTTTCTTCCGTTGATTGAACAAAATCTGCTACTATGGGCTCAGAGGACTTTTCCAATTCGAATGAGGCTAATTTTATGCCTATTTCCTCACAATGATTGAAGTTGCCTTCTTTCTCAGTCTTTTCTTCTGAGACTTCCCAAAAACACCTAAATTTAGGAAACTCTATCGTTTCCTCAAACGCCTTTTCTGAGACTTCATTTATAACATCAAACTTAGGAACATCTATCTCTTCAGTAGCTTTCACTGAGACTTCCCAAAAATCCCTAAATTTGGGAAAATCTAATTTTTTCTCACAGGCTTTCTCTGAGACGTCTCCCATAAAACTAATTTTAGAAAAATCTAAGTTTTTCTCAGCAGCTTTATCTGAGACTTCGCAAAAATTCCTAAATCTAGGAAAATCTAATTTTTTCTCAGAGGCTTTCTCTGAGATTTCCCAAAACTTTTCTAAGTTTACGGTAATTGCATCTACTCTACCTGCCTGTGGGGTCTTAATTTGCATTGTTTGTATTGCCTGGAGATGTTGTTCGAGAAACTCCAAAACCTCTTCTAAGGTTTGGATTTCTTTTGTTCTCCTAGTGTACTGTTCATATTGTTGTAGTCCTGCCCTATCGAATTTTCTTAAAACTATCCTAGCCCATACTATATCTGCTTCTTTTATTCCTGTATCCATGCCGTTTATGGCATGAATACATTGCCTAGTAGTATCTAGCAGGCCCTGGACACTTTTTTCCGACTCACTATTCATTGTGGGCTGATCTAATAGTTTGTCCATGTGGTAGGAGAATATTTGTCTCCTATTTTCGTATCTATCTTTCAAAATATGTAATGCCGTTTTATAATTTTCTCTTGAGATTGGCAAATGCTGTATTAGGGAACTCGCCTCCCCCCTAACTAGCTCTTTCAACCTTATAAATTTCTCAACTTCGTGCAAGTTTTTGTTCTTGTGCACCAAGTTTCCAAACATATCTGAAAAGGCTGTCCACTGTGCTATATTTCCAAAAAAGGGATGAATTTCAATTTCTTTTAATTTCAATGTGCTATTCGTGCTTTTGTCTTCATTAATTTCTTTCATTTTACGTAAAAAAAGTCCTTCTACCTCCTCCAACACTTGCCCTATTTCGTTCTCAGTGCTAAAGGGGTCTTTTTCCAAGGTTTTTATACTCTCCTTTATTTCCTCAAACTTTCCATCTAAGAATTTCTTCGCTTCCGGCGCCTCTAGTCCTACGTGAAAATCTCCACTAATCTGCCTGCCAAATCTTTCGGCCTTGGCTATTACCGTATTTCTTTTCTTTTCCCACCTATGCCTGGCTTCGTCTTGAAATGGGGATGTGGCTGACATGCTCGTCTCCATTGGAGCTGATGGTACGTGTTTTTTAGGTTTGTACCTAGCTAGGCAAGTCATTATATCCCCTCTAACCTTCATCACGTTCGCCCACACGTTCTTTTGGAAATAGTCTACCTCGCCAAGACTTTTCTTGTTGTCCTCTAGGATCTCATGCCTTTTTTCGAATTTTTCCCAGAGCTTCTCTAGTTCTGCTAAGTGCTGTGAGTTTTCACACAACGTTTTCTCTCCTAAATTTGTTATATTTTCAATCTCCCTATAAATCGTCTGCTGCTCTACTAAGAGATCTTTTAATTGATCCCTTGTCAACACCATCTTGTCACCTTTGGTATTATTATTTTCGACAACAAAAAATATTTTATGTTATTATTTATTTATTTCTTCTTATTTCTATTTTTCTTAATATTAATTTTGAAATGTTCTTAATTTTTTTTAATATTAGTTCTTTTTTGCTCCTTTTTCTTTTTACTCCTCTTATCTTTTAATTTTTTTTGCTTCTAACAGGTACTTCTTTTGTTCCTGTCCTATTGAAATTTGAGCTAATTTGTATAGCTCTCGCAACTGATTCCTATATTCTTCTATCGTAAGCTTTTGCGGTCCTGCATTGGGTTCCGCTGCAGCTTCTATATATGGCCTCGCGACCTTAATAATTCTATTGAATACTCGGTCAAATTCTTCCATAGAAGCAATTTGACGTTCGTCTGTGGCTTCCTGGGGTTTCTGACTCATTGGCCAAACCTGGTAGAGGTTTAGCTCTTGTCGTCTTCTTTTGTCCAAACCTTCTATGGGCTTAGCTTCCTCTGCTTCTTCGTCTCTCTTGCGGCCCAAACCTTCGGGATCTGGTCTGATGTCGTCCTTCTTCGGCCCAAACCTTGTAGGGATTTGGGACCTGCTGTCTTCTCTCGCTTCTCTCTTCTTCGTCCTTCGGCGGCCCAAACCTTGTAAGGGATCTTTGGGAACCGCTCTTCTTTCACCCTCTTGCTTCTTCGTCCTTCGGCGGCCCAAACCTTGTAAGGGATCTTTGGGACCGCTTTTCTTCGTCTCTCTTGCTTCTTCGTCCTTCGGCGGCCCAAACCTTGTAAGGGATCTTTGGGACCGCTTTTCTTTGACCCTCTTGGTCCAAACCTGGTAGCGGTTTGCAGGGGTCTTCCTTCTGGTTTATCGGCCCAAACTTATCAGAAGTTTGGCAACCGATTTTAGTTTCGTCTTTACTAGACTCTGTATTCTTTCCCTTCCTACTTTAAAGGCTATGGCCTTAATGGTTCGGCTTTTGTTTTCGCCTTAAATTTTAATTTTTTGATTCTGACACCTTTCGGTATCTAGTTCGGATGGGCCCGCTATTGCCGACCTCGCCGTTTCCTTGCTCGAAGGACCAAAATGTAAATAGTTCCTTGCTATACAGCTAGGAACTATTCACTATCAGAGGCTACACTTTATCCCGTGTAGAGCGTCTCTGAGAGAACAAAAAAGGAAACAAACCAATGCTTAAATTTCCAATTTCATTCTAATTTTATTTCTGAAATTCCTTCAGTATTTATACAGTTTTTGTCTTATTTACTAGGTTTTTTCTTATGTACTAATAATTCAATATTTTACTCTTTCTTATTTTCTAAACATTGTACTTACTCTAATTTTACATTTTTTGTCTTATTCTATCCTATCGGTGTCAAGTGGATTTCCCCTCCATATGTATATTTCAAGCCTTTCTTAAACGCAGTGTGCACCCACCCTTAAAACGCTGTCGCGGTCCTATTTGCCTATGCATTTTCTGTTATCTACTATGCGTTGGTCTGTACCACTGCTGCAATGCGGCTATTTTTAGACCGAGATTTGTTGTTTAGCCTACCTACTGCTTGTGCTCCCTATGCTAACTTCTGAGCTCTTGTTCACTTTTGTGAACAGCAGGATGTCTATTTGTACAGAATGGCCCATATTTTTTGTTGTGGGGTGTCGTTCTTTCCTGAGATAGTGCCTGAAACCGTATTCAAGGTCTTGGAAAGCAGGATGTGCTACTGCGAAGCTAGTCGAGGCAGCCACATACCCATAAGAACAACTAATAAGCAAACCTGTATAATTTTAATAAAACATATGTAGTTTTACTTTGCATACAAGTATGTTAATAAACTTGCATCTAAATACGATTTTCGCAAACGACAGATTTAAAAGTATGAAGTCCTAAAATTTAAAACTATAATCAAACGCGGATCCAATTTCAAAGAATTCTGCTTTTTAATGGTACCTTTAAAACAATCAATATAAGTATTCTAATCATGATTTCAAATATGTACATAGTGTTGATATGACAATCAATTTTTATTTTCAATATGACTTACATTATTAATTTGCCAGTTTTAAAACAATTACCTGTAAACGCATCGAGCGAAAAGAAGTAGTATTTAACATTTATTTATGTCACATAAGTTTTTCTGTGAAACCCTAACTTAATATTTTGGGTGCCAATTTGTCATCCTTTTGAGCTCAAAACTGGATGGTGAAAAAAATGTCGCTAAGGTTGTTTTTCAATTAGAGCAAGGTCTAACAAACCCTATAGCATAGTTTAATGGGACATTTTGTAAGCCTATCAACATTTTTCCACAGTTGCATATGCTTTAAAAAAAGATTAAATAAAGAATATTCAATGCAGATTATAAGCTCACCAATTTGTTTCACAATCAATCACAGCTTTAATCAAAACACCATAAAAATGCCAAAGCGATCCACCCAGGAAAGTCGGGCATTTTTCCCTGTGGCGGGGTAGAAAAAGAAATATCGCACTAATTGCATATGACAATGACAACGACAACTGCACATAGACAGACTCCCATGGCGACAGGTCTGAATATCTGACTGTCTGTCTGTCACTCGCGTGCAACAACAATTTGCAGCAAATTGATTTACACAGGGACAACAACAAAAATGATACAAACATAACAGCCAACCAACAACCGAACCACCCATCCAGCAACCAACTTGCTAGCAGGACTGCAATGTAGTCTTCATTCATGTCTAACTAAACGTTTCGCCCCTCGTTCATTTGCAGAGATTTGCGCTTCAATCGTTTCGACGAGCTGCCGGCCAATGCATTCAATGGTCTGAGCCAACTGACGACACTATTTCTGAATGAGAACGAGCTGTCGCATTTGCAGGAGGAAGCGTTCGAGGGTCTGCAGTCGCTGCAGTTCCTCTATTTGAACAATAATCGCCTAAGCCGCTTACCTGCCAGCATCTTCCAGCGCCTGCCTCGATTGGAGGCTATGTAAGTGGAGCCCCGCATTTTAATTAAAATGCACGCATACGCCATGTGGCCGCAAAAACTTGCTCACATTTTACAATTTTACCATTCTTTGGCAGCTACCTTGAGAACAACGACATTTGGCAATTGCCGGCTCACATTTTCGACAATCTACCACGCCTCAATCGCATGTAAGTACACTCGCAAACTCACACACACAGAGAGAGAGAGAGAGAGAGAGATAGAGACCCACCATATACTTGCTAATGGCATATTTGCACATTTTCCACAGTTTCCTTTACAACAACAAGCTGACCAACTTGCCCGTCGATGTGTTCAACAAATTGCAGAGCCTGAAGCGACTGCGTCTCGATGGCAATGCCATCGACTGTAATTGCGGTGTTTACTCGCTTTGGAAACGCTGGCGGTTCGACTCACAGCGCCACATCATGACCATTACACTGACCTGTGCCGCGCCAGCTGCCCTTCAGCGCCACTCCTTTGCCAGCCTCACAGAGCAGCACTTTCGATGTGGTAAGTTCATACTTGTACAACTATTATTTTTGGGCCTCAATAAATAGCAATACACTCGCTATTAAAAAACAATTTGTCAACAATGGAATAGATACCATAAATAAATATTATAAAGCTAAGTACAGAGGTTCCACAGGAGTATAAAAAGCCCTTCAATCAAACAAATTGTGAAGAAAGACACAGAGACTACAAAATAATTTGAAAAATAATATGATTGAACAAATAACAAAGTACCATTGATAGGCTGCGTTTTTTTTTTCAAATGTTTGAGGGAACGATGCTTCGGGAATAACTTAAAGCCGAGCGTGCTCGACTAGGTTCTACCCCTAATATATATTTGGTTCTGGTTTCGGTTAAGCTTGTCCATCAACAAAATCAAAATTGAAGCTTGGAATATTGAATATTTGAACATTGATGTTTAAAGTGCATGAAAACTTTTTGACAATCATTACTGATTCACTTCTACCTTAAATATTCTGCAGTTAAGCCAACCCTTCTCGCCGGTCCGCATGACATAGAAGCGTCGATTGGCGATGATGTTGCGCTGTTGTGCCAAGTTGATGGTGAACCGAAGCCCGAGCTGACCTGGATGCAGAACACCAATCAGATAACCAGCGAATATGCGCCGCACATGCAAATCTTGGCCAGCGGCACGTTGCGCATCAATGGCGTGGCATCGAATGACATTGGCATCTACCAATGCATGGCACACAACGAAATGGGTGAGATCAGGTCCCAGCCTATACGCCTGTTAGTCAATGAGGACACACACAGAGACACAAGCAACAGCAATCAAGTGTGGCCCACGTCTGAACAAACGGATGCGGAACGCACGCCACAGCCGCCTCGATTCACACTCCAGCCGCGCAACGAAATTGTCGGTCTGCATGGCGGTGCACACATTCTCGATTGCGCGGCCAGCGGCTGGCCCCTGCCGGACATACAATGGTTCGTCAACGGCCGCCAGCTGACACAGTCTACGGCCACGATGCAGCTGCAGGCCAATGGCAGTCTGGCCCTGCTCCAGCTCAGTCCGTTGGTGGCGGGCACGTATCGTTGTGAGGCGCACAATCGTTTGGGCAGCGTCCAGGCAACGGCTCACATCGATGTGAAGGGTGAGTGTCAATTGGGTGGTGGTGGGGTATTGGGGGTGTACTGGAGATTGCGAAGTTCTGGGATTGCATTTCAGTCATTCAAACTGTCGCCATCACAGTTAGAGTAGCGATGAATGAGGGTGTCTGCGTGCGAGTGACTGCCGCGTGACTTTTTTACTCAATTCGCAGTTTATTTAATTTGTTTTGGGTTGTTATTATTTACTTTTTTTTATTTTAAACTCGTTACGCTGCATTTCAAACGCGTCTACGTGCCATATTTTACAAAATGGCCGCGCACACAAAATGGTACAGTCAGCGCATTTTAACTAAACGAAAGCGGACGCTCCAGCTGTATAAAACTATATAGTACTAGTATACTCATATTTATGTAGTACATATATATCCGCCTTAGGCGTTGACTCAGACGCGTTAATTAATGCATTATTCAACAAAGCCTCATTATAATTTGTGGTCGCTGCATAAAATGAAGTGCTCATTTACGCATTATTTTTCAATTTAAGTGCAAAATTCATAAACTATTCAAACAAGCGTGCAAAAATGTTGCAAATTAGAGCTCTAGAATATCAAATACCCTGCTAAAGTCTATAAAAATAAATGCAAATATACGCGAGCGAGTTATTCAGGATCGTTTCCAGAATAAAAAAAATATATATTATTGATAAAGTTAGCATTAACTTCGATTTATCGGTTTTGCATGCCTAACTGCGTTTTATACATTCTTCATTCAGATATTCTTATTGGTATGCTGGTCCGCTGAATTTATTATTTTAAAACAAAAAAAAAACAATGGAAGGAAAATAGAAAAATCCATTAATGGACAAATTTATAAGAAAAACTAAAATTCTTCAAAAAAAACTTAACCAATCGCCGAAAGGATCAGCCACGAAACTATTTTGAATATTACCACAAAATTTGATCAAAATTGGTTGACCGGTTTCGGAGTCTATAGGGAACACACATACACATTTTTATATACGAGTGTATGACAAATCTAAAACGATATTTTCTATTAGAGAAAAGTAGTAACCCAAAATATAATTATAAAAGGATATGTTAAGCAAAAATGCATAAACTCCCATTTCCAATAGCTGGCAAAGAGAGTATTATAAAAAGTCAAAAGCGTCATGCATGAAACATGATATGGTGGTGCGTAAGAGGAGGCGACGGGCGAGTGGTGGCTCCCATTAGTATGTGGTGGTCGGAGGCTGTGCGTGCCCAAGTGGCGCTTGTTGTCAAGTCAACGAAGCGCATAACCAGACGCTTTGGTCGTTCGGTTGGTCAGCATAATTAACTTGCAAACAAGACCAACAATAAATGCATATTTCTGCAAGTTCATCATACATAAATTATTCCTGCCTGCCTGCCAGCCTGCCAACCTATTTGTTTGCGTTTGTTGTTTATTCGTTTTGGCACAGCGAAAAAGTATGCAATGAAAAATGTATTTACTCATTGCATATTAAGCCCGCATGGGATAAGCCCAAACAAAGGAAGGCCGACACAGAGAGAGAGGGAGAAAGAGAGAGAGAGCGAAAGAGTTGTAAATAGAAAACTAAACAAGCAACTGGACCGACAACTGGCCACAGGCTGTTGGTTGTAATGCCTCAACACCACCCTCCCCACCCCCCTTATTTGTTTGTGCGATTTGGAGCAAAAAATCGCGCATAATTGCTTACAAAAATCGCTCATACGTACCGCTGCACCTTTCACTTTTCGTTCACATCTCGTCCAATTTTTCTTGGCTAGATTTACCCGAAATTTTAATGGCCCCACAAAATCAAACAATCAAATTGGGCAAAGCATTTGTGCTGGAATGCGACGCTGATGGCAATCCGCTGCCAGCCATTTCGTGGCAATTCAATGGACAGCCTCTGGTTAGCAGCCAGCATTTGATGCTGGAGAACGAGAACACCGAGCTGGTGGTCAATGAGGCGCGGGAACAGGATGCAGGTAAGTGCCACAAACACTGCAGCCAACCACTGGCCGCCGTTTACATTCCATTTTGATTCGGGCCAGGAATCTATCGCTGCACGGCTACCAACGAAAATGGCGAAACCAGCGCCTCGGCTAGCATTAGAGTTGAGCGCTCGCAGTCACCTCCACGTCTGGCCATCGAGCCCACCGATTTGGTGGCCATTGCCGGCACTACATTCGAGCTACCCTGCAAGGCTGAACAGCAGGAGGATGGATTGCAGGTAGGTTTTCGAAACCAGAGTGCAGCACTAAAGTACTTAAAGCACTGAGCAACACAAATTCGCATCGAGATGAGGCAAATATAACAATTAAGTAAAATCAATTACTGATGGCAATGGGTAACAAAAATGTAAATTCTAAGCCAATTTAACACAATATGTATTTGTATTTTTAAATCAATCATTCCCTTATGGCACTTTTCAAAAGACTCAAATCTCTGACAATTTCTGGTTCGTTAAATTTTGGTTTTATTATTTTAGGAATAAAAACTATAATTAATTACTGTTTCATTTCTCTTACAATTTAATTTCAACATTAGTTCTGGGAATAAACCAAACTAAACAGTATTTGAACTGATCATTTTGAATTTATGAATACGTTTTAAAACAACTTTTTAATGCTATCTTATTATAAGGCGATCGATCCTTTTAGAATAAATGAACACTCAAACGATCTCAGGAGATAGTAAGACATCATTATAAAAAGTTCTCGCTAATCTAAAATTTCTAAGAGGAGGTGGACACCCAGTCTGGACACCCATTTAGTAAAAAGTAATGTTGTGAATAACAATTAGAAGTTAATTAATGAACTAGTAATTGCCCGAATATCATCCAAAAGTTATACCATATACTCTGCATGCAAGCTTCCTTCAACTACAATTTTTTTCAACGGGCACTTTTAACTTTAAACTTCTTTTCCGAGATTCAGATCCCTGCTGCATAGTGTACGTTGAAGGGCATTTCATTCTGTTTGCACACACTTGTTGATGTTTTCATTTTTTTTTTTTTGGATACAGATTTCCTGGCGGCGGGATGGCCGTCTCATTGATCCGAATCAGCAATTGACGGAGAAGTATCAAATAAGCGGCGCCGGCAGTCTATATGTAAAGAATGTAACCATTTTGGATGGCGGCCGCTACGAGTGTACGTTGAAGAATCAGTTTGGGCGCGCCACAGCCTCCGCTCTGGTCACCATCAGGTGAGTGTCTTTGTTGCTTCTCTTCCAAGTGAGCGGAGTAAATAGTAAAACTTTTGTGCAAATAACAAAACTTGGCTGGCCAACTCATTTAGAACTTGGCACACAAACTGCAACAACAAGAACTGCATAAAAAGCGCCACTTTAATTGCTGAAAGAAATGGCTATAAAACTCCATTAACATCAAAAAACGGAATTTCTTGCTTAACTTCTTCTCACTGCCCAAAATATATATGTAAAACTTCAGCAGAAGACTTTGAGTAGACGGCTGTTTTAAGTTAGAACTCTATGCGCCTCCCCCACTTAAAATGCATTTAACTCTGCGGCAAAGTTGGTTAATTAATTGAGAAATAGTTGCGGCGCTCCAAACCGCACGTAAATGGCAAAGAAAGAATCTGGAAGCACAGTGGAAACAATTTGGCAGTCAATCAAGACGCAACGTAGTCAGAGTAATTTGCATGTTTGCGAATAAGTTTGCAACGCTTTGGGAAAATAATAACTCTATTTGTTTTATTCATTATTTATTTGTTTGACAAATAATCAAGGGTAATGAATTTCTTAAGTTAAATTGAGCTCACAGTAATATGAGATAAATGGCATAAATTTGTATACCTTTTTGGGCTTTAAAAAGTAATACGAGTTAGTGAATCGAAATTGATGCAGATGTTTTATTTCTGAACGCAAATATACCTGTCGCAGATGCATATCTAATCAAATAACGAATATTTGATTGACCCATTAATCCTTGGCTTAATAACTATATTTTCTCTGGTGATATTCTTAATCGATACAATATTCGTAAATTCAATTCAAGATGACAGCCTCACAAACGTTAACAGCATTTATGGCATAATTTCATCGACTGTGTGCCACTTACAACTAAAATGTTGATCAAATATGCACTAAAAGGCATCGAAAAGCAGGACGACGACGAAAGTCGAAAATGTTGGCGACTTGGCCACGTCCAAAGTGCTAAGCCAATACGAGGCAGGAAGAAACGCACACACACAAATGTACATTGATTGGCACACACTGAGACACACAGAAACCGACTCAAACACACACTCAGTGTCTAGGCAGGGGCAGAAAATTGGCGAAATTGAAAATAAGTTGACAAGTTGTTGCACAATTGACATAGATGGCCGTCCATTAAAGTTTTGCAACTGCAACAGCGCCCAGAAGACGGCAATAGTGTTTATTGAGCAAACGAACAGTGCAAATGCAGAGGCGGTAAATCAATTTAGGCCATGATAAAGCCACCGCTACATCTGGCTTAGATAACTAGGCAGTACGAGTAGCAGGGACCGCAAGACGCATGAGTTTTTGTGGTCTTGGCAATGCTTACGCAGCAATTTTTAAATGCATTATGCATGGCCCCATATACATATATAAGGATGTATGTGTGTGTCATGAGTAAGAGGCCCCAGTCTAGTCGAGCTCAACAAAGTCGCCTATGGTTGCCAGCCAGCCGGCAGCATTAGAAAGAAACTTTACTCATTACGCGCTGCCAGCCTCAGCCCGAGCTTTAGCCGCCAAGCCAGCCACAGCAAGGAAAATTGAAAAGAGGAACGCATGAAGGAATGAATAAAAGACGCAAGCGAAGCAACATCAAGCCGACGGTAAAAGTGAAAAACTATGCATTGTGAGCCAACAAATATGCGCGAATATATGATACAGTTCATGACGAAAGTATACAAACACTCCCAAACACAGGAAACTTCTTTCCAATTTAAAAACTAAATTATTCATACGTGTTTGTAGAACTAATAGCAATTAAAATGACAAACTAGAACTTAGAAAAGTTCGGAGTGCCAGTTATATAAAACCAAATAGCGCTGCTTCCTCTATTAAACAAATATTATAGCTATATAATTGAACACGTTTAAGAAATAGAACGCCCATACTGCTTCAGATTTAAAAATTTCTTTCTTTTCCTTTTTCAAAGAAATTTTGGTTTTTAGCAGTTGTTTGCATATTGAATAAAAACTGTACAGTTCCAATTTATAACCATTTTTCTCAATATTATTTAATAATCATAGGTCCGCAGCTTATCAATGCAAAACGGATCTGAAAGAGCTTCATATTTTTTACCTAAATGCATCTTTAGGCTAAGTTCGGGAAAGTTTTCATTTCGGAAAGGATTAAGTCCCTATTGACCGAAATTGTAGCGTAGATTATTATTATTATTTTTTTTTTAAGCAACACAAATAGCACACGGCAGAAGTTTGTTACAATCTACTGGCGGGCTTACTCGACTGTAGTATTCTATGGCATTACGAGATGGCAGTTTGTGTTTGTAAGCTTTCCCATAGTCAACTGTTTCATCAATCGATTACAACAATTTGCAAATATTGGATGGCAAAGTTTGTGGAAATGTGCATCACTCAGGAAAGTTTGAGGCAATGACGACTTTTGTTTTCTTTACTGTGGTAATAAATACATAAACTGTACTTATTACATGAATATAAAATATCCAAGCTGTTGCTAAGAATTTTGAAATTTGACCGTATTTCCCATTTCCATTCATGTAACGTGACAACTTATACAGCATATAAATGGAAAGTGCAAATGAATTGCTTTAGAATTTGTTACAATACTTATATCGTGGATTGTAGGTAATGAAAGCTTCGAGAGAAGTAAGCAAAGACGCTTCGGGGAGCTCTCAGCAGGAGCAAAAGGAACAACTAAAGGCGGGGACCCAGAAATCCGACTAAGTTGTGGGTAATGCTGGCGTAAAACAAAAGCTTATCCTGTTACTGGCATTGTCGTCGCTTAGCGTTTGGTGTTTGCTGCTTTCAGCATTCTGCTTGGTGTGGTGCTAGCCACGGAAATACGTTTGCCACAGCATGTGGCACACACTAGCATACACCCAGAGCTGGGCCCCAACAACGACACCAAGCCACAAAATATACTATAGACCAAAAAACGGCATGACACAAAAAGTAGCAGCCGCAAAATAGCAGTAGAAATATGTAGTGGGTAGCAGTAGTATGTAAGCAGTAAGGCTACTGCCAACTACTGGACTGCTCGACGTTGGTGCAACAGGGTGTATTATGGTCGTTAAGTTATTACCTACAACGCGCGCGTACAATGGCAAAGTTTACACAGCGGCGAAAGTTTCCAAAGGAAATTCCTATAGCGGCACAAAAACCGGCAATAGTTGGGTGAGGGCGACACGGAAAAAGAGCGCAGGAGGCACGGGGTACGAGGCCGTGGCAAGTAAATGCAAGGCATGAATTGTTGTTAATGCTGCTGTTGTAGTTTTTGTAGCTGCTGCTGCCTTCGCAGTGCTTTGCGCCGATTTTTTGCTTAAAGTCAACATCAGGCGCCAGAGCGCTGTGAATAAACAAAATAAAAAGAAAAGAAATGAATAGAAAAGTGTAGCACAGCATTGTGCGCCGATTTTCCTTTTCTTCTGCCTCTCTTATACCCATTCTATTAGCGCATTTATTTTCATGCATTTTAATGGCGTTGAAAAGCGCAGCCAGCACAGCAATTAAAATAGTATAATTAATGGGCGCTGCTTTGTTCGTCTTGTCGTAAAGTTTGATCAAACAAATGAATCATGTTCAAAGCGAAATTGATCGAGATGTGGAAAATGGAAAAGTTGATGTTCAGATTCTTTAAAAGCATCATCTTATTCTACATAAGTTTAAGTTAATGTCCTCAGCAGCTCACTCAATAGGCAAAAATTTTACTATTTCTGTCTCTAAGAAGTGATTTTCACAACCCTAGTATCTGTCAAAGTGACTAGTCGACTTTTTATAATGCGTTTATAATAAAATTCTATTAAATTCCGTTTTTTTTTTCAATTATTTCGTGTCTAGTGCGTTTAAAAAAAATCACCCGGAAACTTAGTTTTACCTTGGCTGTTTGGCAATCGTTTAGTGTCCTTATTTTCTTGGATCCAATCAATAATTAATCTGCTGACGTACAAGGTGCGTTCCAAAGTAAACAGGACTTTTTGAATCTAGCACCCCTTGGTGGCGCCATCTACATGTCGACTGGTGCGTTAGAATCTGCTATCTTTATCGATTGTCCAGTGAGAATTTCATGACATTTCATCGATTGAAGTAAAGTGAAGTTATTGCCTTAAAACGGAATCATGCGTCAGTATGTTTGTGTTATCGGTGCGAAAATGAGCTTCGAACAAAGCGCCAACATTAAATTTTGTTTTAAAATTGGTAAAACTTTTACCGAAACGTTTCAATTGATGGAACAAGCTTATGGCGATGATTGCCTATCCCGTAGCAGAGTGCACGAGTGGTTTCAACGTTTTCAAAGTGGTCGTGAGGACATAAATGACGATCAACATGTGGGCCAATCAAAATTCGTGATCACCGAAAATTCCATCGAAACTGTGCTTGAATTTATCAAAAATCAGCCGAAATCATCATTGAAATTGATGGAAATGGAATTGAACATCTCCAAAATATCGATTTATCGCATTTTGACCCAACATTTGGGCTGACGAAAGGTGTGTGCAAATTGACTATTTGACCAAAAATCACATTTTAACCATTAACCACTCGCCGTATTCATCTGATATGGCACCGTGCGACTTCTACCTTTTCGGAAAAATGAATGCATTTGCTCATGAAAGGAAGGCGTCTGCATACCGACGTAGAGGCAATTCAAAAGGCTTGCACCGGCATACTGGCGGCCATACCGGCAAACGACCTAAAACACTCGTTCGACATGCTTTTGGATCATGCAAAAAGCTGTATTGAAGCAGAAGGAGGCTATTTTGAATAAAATAAATTGATTTTGCCGAAAAAATCATTTGTTCTGTTTTTTTTAAGACAGGCAGCGTAGAATTTTATTCTTTGCTTGCTTTTGCAAATCATCTTATCTCTCTTAAATGAATGCTGATGAAGACTCGGCCGCTCTCGGAGCAGCTGAGGAAGTAGCCAATAAGCTGCTGAAGTACGAGGAGATGAGAAAAATTTCTGGTAAATCACCTTCGGAGCTGAGAGCAAAAATAACCAAGGACCTGCATATGTCAATGGGAAAACCATACGTAAAACCGTCAAGCTCAACCAGTAACTGGATTGCCTCAGCCACTTGTACATCGACTACAAGTACCCTTACATTTTCTGTGGTGAACTCTCAATCAACGTACACCACAGCAGCGACATCAAATGGCAGTTTGTGCTCTACTTAGTTGCGAATCCAACTCAGGACTAATTTTGCTCGTTTCAAATGCCAGTACCCGGTATTAATAGGAAGCGAAAAGGAGCCGTCGTGTCACTAAAATCGGCTCAAAAAAATAAGCCAACTCCAATACAACTCAGGGACAACGAACTGCGTCCTCCTCTCCGCCAGCGCTTCAAAATAATAGATTTGCAGCCCTTTCGGAAGAATCTGATTCCATTATGGAAAAGGAAGAGCCAGATTCCGAAGATCCATCGAGCCAGCAAAATGAAGCCAGCCGTTTCCAGCAGGGAAGTACTATTCCTTAGCCTCCTGCTGTATGTGTGCCACAACAACAAATAACAAATTGGATAAGCTGGAGGTGGCGCTCAATTATGCTGTCCCACCTGACGATTACGACATTTTTGAACGTACATATATTGCCCCAGAAAACCGGACTGGCGAAGTATACAAATTAATGATAATGATACCATGATCGTGCGAATTGGATGTTAGTGGCAAATGTATATGCGCTAATTGCGGTGAAGACCATATGTCGAGCTTCAGAGGCTGCAAGGTAAGGTGGCCTCGTCAAAAACAATGATGAACTCAGACTTTTCCTTACTTCTAACGAAATAGATATAATGTTGATAACCGAAACACACATGCGTCCTGGAGTGAAAGCATATTTACCAGGATACGACCAGTACCACGCTAATAATTCCAGTGGCACCTCTAAAAGTGGCTCTTGTTTTCCTCTCATTATTAGATCGAGTATCGCTCATTCACAGAATGACCCTATTCTAAAAACAAACATCCAGGCGGCCAGCGTATCTTTACCGACGTATGGTGGAAGCATCAAAGTCTCCTCCCTTTATCTTCCTCCCAATGAAGCTTGGTGTAGGGCCGACTTTGATCAATTGATTGCCCAATTCTCGCATTGATGTCTTTAAAGATGATCTGGATAGAAGAATTAACCTAAACATCGAAATTGACAGCCCAGAGGACATCGAAGACGCGATTTCAATCCTCATGAACAACATTTTACTGGCTGCGTCTTTTGCTGCTCCGAAAACTCACCGCTTGCCAACCCAACATCGTCAAGCTAGTCTACCACCAACTGCTGCTGAGCTCTTAAGCCTGAAAAGACGAGTCAGGAAAGAATATGCTAGAACGGGAGATGTTCGAATCCATCAAATCTACAAAACATTGTCCAATCCACTGCAATAAGAATTAATTAAAATCAGGCAAGACAGAATTGATGACATTCTGGAAAGTGCTGGTCCTGATGCATCCTGTAATTATTCGCTATGGAAGCTCACAAGCTCAAAGACTCCAATTAAGGATCCTGCAGGTGGCTGGGGTTAGTCCAGTCAGCAGTCCTCTAGGATCTCTGCAAAGATTTCAGCCTCTTGACCTTACAACAGAAAATAGGCGAAGGGTAGTCCAGCTTAGGCTGGAGATGCCATTCCAAATGGCCTTGCCTGCAAGCCCGGTTACACTGCAAGAAGTTGTAGAGCACAACAAAAACCTAAAGGTAAAAAAATCGCCTTTTAGACAACAAGACGCTGAAACTGCTCCCTACAAGGGCTCTGCTGTTTATTGTTCTGCTTATGAATAGCATACTCAGGCTGAGGCACTTTCCAAACAGCTGGAAAACGGCGCTAATTACGATGATTCCAAAGCCAGGGAAACAGTATTCTGAAGTAGATGGATGCAGGCGGATTAGTCTTCTACCTGCCCTCGGGAAGTTGACGGAACATATGATTCTGAACCGGATTCTCCAGCTCGAAGCCGTGATACGCAGAATTTCAAAGTGGCAGTTTGGATCTCGAAAAGGTCGCGGCACTCTGGAACAAGTCCAGCGTGTGGTCAACTTCGCCCTGGAAGCAAAAGATATACTCAGTGGCTGTGTTTATGGGCATAAAACAAGCTTTTGATAGAGTGTGGCATGATGGACTCCTCTGCAAGTTGAAAGGCATACTAACTCCGCAACTGTTCCAACTTATCGCAAGCTTTCTAAGGGACAGAAGCTTTAAAGTCATTGTTGATGGAGTGAAAACTACAATGCGTTTAATTTGTGCAGGCAAGGTTCCAATAGCTACCTGAGCAGACGACACTGCAGTGCTTACCAGAAGCAGAGACATTGATGTTGCTTCGGTAGCCTTGCAGCAATATGTTAGCAGCTACGAGAATTGGGCTCGGAATTGGAACATTTGTATCAACGCCAGCAAGTGCGCGAATGTCACATTTGTAAGAAGGCCATTGTCCTGCGGAAATATTACTATGTTGGGTCCACACTCACTCATACAAAATCCCACAAATATCTTGGTGGACTGGAGACTCGCCTTCAAGAAGCACATAACCATGGTCAAGCGGTCGGTCATGACAAAAGCTGGAGAGATGGCGTGGCTGCTTGCACCCAGGAACAAGCTGTCTCTACACAGTAAGGTGGCAATCTACAAGTCGATCTTAAGCCCAATATGGAAGTATGCGCTACCAATCTACGAAATTGTTGCTAAATCCCACATAAACAAGTTACGAGTTGCTCAATCGAAAATTCTCAGCGATGTCATTCGAGAGCTCGCTCGCAATTACGAGAAGCGCCTCGGCTTTCACCCCAACGCACTAGCGAGACGGCTGCTCTCCAGGCCCAGGAAGAGAAGACTGAAGAAGTGCCATCCAAAGGATCTCCCCACGAGATCCCTTGTGTAAAATATATAGTATAATATCTTAAATATATATCGTATTAAATCAAAAAAATTGTAAATATATGTACATAGATATAAGTGCATCCTATAGATGCATACTTTGGACCACTCTTTTATTCCCCATTAATTTCCAATTAGCTTAAGCTGTCTTATTGGTAGCAGAACACTAGTTTAATAAATTGTATATAATTAAAAAAAAAAAAAGTGATTTTATAAAATTCGATTCATAAATGGGGTAAATTTTCTGTCAATATTTGTTACAAAATAATTAAAATACTGTTTTCTTTAAAAACATAGCTGCGAAACATTTATACAACACTTTCTAAAGGAAACTTTAACACTTTTTATGCTGAAAGTTTTTAATGCGAGCCACATAATAGCAATGAACTACCGTAGGGAGCGAATAATAAATGTTAATAAGTGAATTAGCTTTTGGTAACAAATTTGGCAACTCAAATTTTAAAAATTCAAAATTTTGAAATTATTGATTTGTTCAATATTTTAGTTAACCTTTAGATAGTGACTGACGCAACCACTCTTTACTTTTCGCGACAGCAGATAAGTTTTCATAAAAATATATAACTCAATAAAGATAAACTATAGAAAGATAGGTAAATGGGAATAGGGAAATGTTTAATTTTTTTATAAAAATAATGAGGTTTAGTTTGTTCTTATAGTTGTCATTAGATCTAATTTGTTCGAAATAGTATGTACTTTATCTACCAATGGATTCTATCTTGTGTGGATAGAATAGCTTAACCCTATCATATCTTATTTACACTGTGAAGGATATTTCCTCCATGGACAACGATTAGCGGCCGTTTTACAAAATTGTGTTAGTTTTCTGCATTTTCCAATAATTGTCTAAAAAATCGAATTGGAAGCAAATAATATGTTTGTACTTCTCGGATCGGACATAACAAATATTTTACAAGCATCTAATACAAGTATAGAAATGACTTGTTTGCTTTTCAAATACTGCAAATTACTGAAATTATCTGTCAAAGAAATAAGAAAAGCTTGTCAGCTCAATAAAAAAAAAACTTATCAATTACAGACTTTTGAAGATGGATGAAACCATAAAAAAATTAGCGAAGTAGAGGCAATTGCAGGTGAAAACATAATGAAGTCAGAGCAAGAATAATTACACAGAAAATTGTCGATTTAAAACTTTCAACCCAATGCTCCTTAAAGACGATGATCACGGATGATTAAAATAGATGTTAAGCTGGGCTATACAATTATGATATACAAGTACTACTGAGACAAGTTTCGAAAATAAACTTCTTACCTTATTATCTCTTCACTTCTTTTTATGACAGAAATAATGTTGATCTGGCACCTGGAGATCGCTACGTACGCATTGCTTTTGCCGAGGCAGCCAAGGAAATTGATTTGGCCATAAACAACACCATTGATACGCTCTTCACCAATCGCACGAAGCCGACCGCCAATGGCCAGCGTGCTCCGCCCAATTATGGCGAGCTGTTGCGCGTCTTTCGCTTCCCAACCGGCCAGGCCAGACAGCTGGCCCGTGCAGCGGAGATCTACGAAAGGACGCTGGTCAACATACGCAAGCATGTGCAAAGTGGCGACAACCTGACCATGGAGAGCGAGCAGTACGAGTTCAGGGACTTGCTTTCGCGCGAGCACTTGCATTTGGTGGCCGAACTATCTGGCTGCATGGAGCATCGTGAGATGCCGAATTGTACGGACATGTGCTATCACTCGAAGTACCGCAGCATCGATGGTACCTGCAACAATCTGATGCATCCCACCTGGGGCGCTTCGCTGACCGCTTTTCGACGTCTGGCGCCGCCCATTTATGAGAACGGCTTCAGCATGCCCATTGGTTGGACCAAAGATAAGCTTTATGCGGGTCACCGCAAGCCCAGTGCACGCTTGGTATCCACTTCGCTGGTGGCCACCAAGGACATTACACCAGATACACGCATAACTCACATGGTCATGCAATGGGGTCAGTTCCTGGACCACGATCTCGATCATGCCATACCATCGGTGAGCTCCGAGAGCTGGGACGGCATCGATTGCAAGAAGACGTGCGAATTAGCTCCGCCCTGCTACCCCATCGAGGTCCCCCCAAATGATCCACGCGTTAAGAATCGACGCTGCATCGATGTGGTGCGCTCCAGTGCCATTTGCGGCTCTGGCATGACTTCGCTGTTCTTTGATAGCGTGCAGCATCGGGAGCAGATCAATCAGCTGACCTCCTACATTGACGCCTCACAAGTCTATGGTTACAGCGCTCCCTTCGCTCAGGAGCTGCGCAACCTGTCCACCGATGAGGGTCTCCTGCGCGTCGGTGTTCACTTCCCCAAGCAGAAGGACATGCTGCCGTTTGCTGCCCCTCAAGATGGCATGGACTGTCGCCGTAATCTGGATGAGAACCAGATGAACTGCTTTGTGGCTGGTGATATAAGGGTTAACGAGCAGGTGGGTCTGTTGGCCATGCACACGATTTGGATGCGGGAGCATAATCGCATCGCCACTAATCTGCGAGACATCAATCCCCACTGGGATGGTGATACATTGTATCAAGAAGCACGCAAGATTGTGGGCGCCCAAATGCAGCACATAACCTATAAGCAATGGCTTCCAATAATTATTGGAGAGAGTGGCATGCAAATGCTTGGGGAGTATCGCGGCTACGATCCTCAGCTAAATCCTACAATTGCCAATGAGTTTGCCACAGCCGCTCTGCGCTTTGGTCACACGATCATCAATCCCATATTGCATCGTCTTAACGAGAGCTTTCAGCCCATACCACAGGGTCATTTGCAGCTCCACAAGGCTTTCTTCGCTCCCTGGCGTCTGGCCTATGAGGGTGGTGTCGATCCATTGATGCGTGGTATGTTCGCTGTGCCCGCCAAACTGAAACTTCCCGATCAGAATCTAAACACTGAGCTCACAGAGAAACTTTTTCATACGGCACATGCTGTCGCTCTTGATTTGGCGGCCATTAACATACAGCGCGGTCGCGATCATGGCATTCCCGGCTACAATGTTTACAGGCAGTTCTGCAATCTCACAGTTGCTCAGAGTTTCGACGATCTTTCGGCTGAGATCAGCAATTCTGCGATAAGGGAAAAACTACGTGAACTGTATGGGCATCCGGATAACATTGATGTTTGGCTGGGTGGTATACTTGAGGATCAGGTGGAGGGCGGCAAGGTGGGTCCACTTTTCCAGTGCCTTCTGGTTGAGCAGTTCCGCCGCCTACGCGATGGCGACCGCCTCTTCTATGAGAATCCTGGTGTCTTCATGCCTGAACAGCTGCAACAGATCAAACAATCCAATCTGGGCCGCGTGCTCTGCGATGTGGGCGATAACATTCAGCAGGTCACCGAGAACGTCTTCATTTTGGCCAAGCATCAGGGCGGCTACAAGCAGTGCGAGGATATAGCGGGCATCAATCTCTATTTTTGGCAGGATTGCGGCAGCTGCAACAACATGCCAGCACTTTTCGACACATTCGTGCCACAGACTTACACAAAACGCAGTCAGCGCAGCAAGCGTGACACCACTGAACAGGAAGTACCCACGGCCGAGAGTTACGACAGTCCCTTGGAGTCGCTGTACGATGTGAATGAGGAACGTGTGAGTGGACTGGAGGAGCTGATTGGCTCATTCCAAAAGGAACTGAAGAAGTTGCACAAGAAACTGCGAAAACTAGAAGATACATGCAATGCCATGGACAATGAACCAGAGCCAGTAGCTGCCGCCCCCGCCGTCCTGAAGCCCAAACGCAGTCATTGCATCGATGACAAGGGCACCACACGCCTCAACAACGAAGTATGGACGCCTGATGTGTGCACCAAATGCAACTGCTATCATGGACAGGTGAATTGCCTGCGTGAAAAGTGCAGTGAGATCAGCTGCCCGCCAGGCGTTGAACCACTAACACCCCCTGAGGCCTGTTGTCCACACTGCCCCCAGATACCGCTCAAGAAGCCGAGCAAATAAAGCGAGGGCGAAGGAATGGGAGCATTAGAAATATGCATATCGACTTAACGTTTAACCAAAACGCGTACCCGTAGTTGTCTCACAAAAACCGAAAACTCTCTCCTTCCTCTTGGCAATGATGTTTATCGGGAAATCCCTCTTAAAGAGCAAACAATTAATTAACAATTAAATAAATGTACTGCTACACATGTAATAATAAAGCACACTGTATCAAAACTAAATATTTTGAACTTTTTGAAAGACGTTACAAGACAAATTGTACTTGCGAGTATTTTTTCCTAATTCGTCTGGAATAATCGGTCCGACAATATAGAATAGCATGTCATTACTGAAAATCGACGAACTTTGTCTGATGTCCTTTAGCTATTACTGAGTTATCCTTTTTATGACGTAGCACACAATCGATAAAGGCCAACTTTTTGCCTGCTCGCACCGTCTTCGCCTCAATAAGTACTTCATCGCCCTCTCTGGCACCCTTTAAATAGCTTACACTCAAGTCCACTGACACACCGGGATGGCAGGGCTTGGACATTAAAGCGTAAGTTGTAACCATGTCGACTAGTGTGGCTGTATAGCCGCCATGTAGACCGCCGCCCATGTTCAGGTGTTCCGGCGCTACTTTGAACTCGGCCGTACAGACGCCATCGCCACCGCCCGTGATCTTCACCTTCAATTGTAATTTTGTTATCGCATTTGTTTTATGTATTAAATGAAGTCAAACCTTTTCCAAATGCCGCTCAAAGCCCGTGGATTTGGCAATTATCTCGGTTATATGTTTGGCAAACTCCAAACCTTTCTTTCTTGTACCCATTTGTTTGGCAAATTTGTTACGACACACAACGATAACGATAGCGGATTTTTCAAAATCGATATCGATGTAAACTTTGCAAACAAAAATTTAACATAAGCATTAGAATTTTAAATTAGATTAGCTTCTTGCGCTCATTTATTCTCGTCAATTACATTACTGAGTTAAAGTAGGCTCCCTTTAGTTCTTAGCATCTTGGTGCATATCCACAAACTTGGTTTGTCCCCCAGTGGCAATAACTGCTCCATCAGACTTACGACGTAGCACACACTCAATGTACGCCAATTTGCGTCCAGCTCGCACTGTATTGGCGTCTACCTCAACAATATCACCTGGCATAGCTGCCGCCAAATAGCTCACATTCAAGCTGGTTGAAACGCCAGGATGGGAACCTTTAGACATTAGTGCATAAGTGGTAATATTATCCAGAATAGCGGCTGTTAACCCTCCATGCAAGGAACCCTTGCGATTCAAGTGCTCCGCTTCAACAGTAAACTCGCCAACACAACGTCCATCACCGCCGTCGGTTATTTTCACCTGTCAAAATTTAAAATAGATTAGCGCGCGCTATCGATAACACAATACAATGCACTTATGTAACATTGATGTAGTTCAGCTGTTTGGCCTAGGGATGTAAGTCGAAGGGAAAACATCGATGTTGATGTACATCGATGTCTCTTTATAAAAAATCGATGCATGGTCGATGCACTTACATCCCTAGGCCAAACAGCTGAACTACATCGATGTTTTAAAAAAAAACTTGCATAAAAAAAAGCTATTATTAGGGAGCAAATTAACATAGATGCTTGAAATAAAATATATATATATATATCTAGAGAGACTGTCATAGCATTTTACTCAATATTGTTAATCAAAATAGTACTCTTAACTCTTGACTTTAAAAACAAAAAAATGATTATGTATATACAGTTTTTAAAACAACGACGCGTTGCAGATACACCTTTTAGGCATATTAAGTGTGACATTATATACGAAAAAAGAAAGATCAAATACTTAACAATCTAAAATGTATATTATAAAATAACATTTTAACGAAAACATCATAAAAACATCGTCGATGCTCAATACATCGATGTTTTTTTACATCCCTAGTTTGGCCCACACAGTTTGCCATCACTAATATGTTGCATTTAAACAGTTTTTATCCATTACGTGCCGTTTTTTGCCGCTGCTAACTCACCATATGAATGACACCGTCGAAACTTTTGCACTTGGCGCTATATTCAGCCACTGTTTTAAGGAAATCAACGCCACGCTTTGCGGCCATTACACTGCAGCTTCTCCGCCTGAACAAACACAACAACCGTGCTCTCCGAAATGACGAAAGCTACTGAGTCTAGCAGTGATGGTGAGGAATATTATCGCGAAATGCTTTAGATTTATTTTAATTTTATTAAATTATAACTACACATTGCAGGTCTAAGATTCGTACAGCTTACCAGAGCTGAGGTGAAACAGGATGCCGTTCATGATTTTGTGGCGCATACCGCAGATGGCATTCACATTGCCATGATTGGCTCTAAAACGAAAATCATCACACTAGAGTTGACTACAAAGGTCAACTGTCATGGTCCGTCTCCATACACCTGCGCCGTCTACGATTTACGCATGGAAAGACCGTTGGACAAACTGGCAAAGAAAGTAAATCTCGCCAAAATCTATGATAGCTGCGATGTGCTGGAGACACAGAGTTTGACTTTGGAGCCGGTCTACATTGCTAACTGCTCAACAGAGGTGCCGCCGGCTAAATTAGTCGCAGCCAATTGGGCACCCATGCCTCTTAAAAATGGTCAAATGTTGCTTGCTGCATGGCTCGCTTATGTTTCTGTCGCAGCCGTCGGGGCACACACGGTGGCGACGACTGGAGGGCTTAGATGTGGCCGATACACTAAATGAAACGACATGAAAGACATTAAAGCAGTACAAAGCCTACATGGATCGTTCCTGGATAACGTCATTTGCCTGGTCCATACATGAGAAAAGCGACACGCAACAACTGCTGCTCGGCACCGCCTCGGGCGGACTGTTTACGTTACATTTGAGCTCAGATGCCCAGGTTGTGCTCCAACATCAGCAGTTCCAAAGCACATTGGGCCGCATTTGTTACATACGCGCATTCAAAAAACTAGTAGTGGTGGGCGACAATAACGGCCTGGTTCATTTATACAATCTAAGTAACAATGAGGGGGGCCTGTTCCTTTTAAAAGCTCTGTGGCTGCGCCCGGATCGCGTAGGCACACAATATGTTGAATTGACATATTGCTTTAAATATGATTGTTATTTTATAGCTATATGCAAAGGTGCACATCTGCTGGTCTGGTGTATGCCAAACTCGAAAAATGATCCCTGGCTAGAGGCGCAACTCTATGTGGGTGGCACTAAGATTACAGGTGACTAAGAATTATTTCATGAAACTCGATTTATCTACATCAATCCTAAATTCTTCACAGGTCTCAGCGCTCTAAGCAGCAACGTATTTGCTTTGACAACAGCGCGCCAGGAACTAAAACGTGTAGAACTAACTCTTAGCATGAGTAATAAGCAGACTCAGTTGAGTCTCAGCATGGAACCCATTGAGATTGAAGACTGTGAAAATTATCAGCTGCTAGGCGTCTTCTGCAGCCGGCACAAGAATCTCCTGTCTGTTCTCCAATTTCGGAACGAGGAGTCCGAAGTGACCACAGCACTGGCTCGTCATGCCACGACCATAAGATTAGGAAAACTTCACAAAAGCAGTGCGTTGGATCAACTTAGCGTTGTACTCGAGCCAAACAAAGGAGCAGATTGGCTCATTCCAAAAGGAACTGAAGAAGTTACACAAGAAACTCGAAAACTTGAAGATACATGCAATGCCATGGACAATGAACAAGAGCCAGTAGCTGCCGCTCTCGCCGTCCTGAAGCCCAAACGCAGCCATTGCATCGATGACAAAGGCACCACACGCCTCAACAACGAAGTATGGACGCCTGATGTGTGCACCAAATGCAACTGCTATCATGGACAGGTGAATTGCCTGCGTGAAAAGTGCAGTGAGATCAGCTGCCCGCCAGGCGTTGAACCGCTAACACCCCCTGAGGCCTGTTGTCCACACTGCCCCCAGACACCCCTCATCACCCTCTCTGGCACCCTTTAAATAGCTTACACTCAAGTCCACTGACACACCGGGATGGCAGGGCTTGGACATTAAAGCGTAAGTTGTAACCATGTCCACTAGTGTGGTTGTATAGCCGCCATGTAGACCGCCGCCCATGTTCAGGTGTTCCGGCGCTACTTTGAACTCGGCCGTACAGACGCCATCGCCGCCGCCCGTGATCTTCACCTTCAATTGTAATTTTGTTATCGCATTTGTTTTATGTATTAAATTAAGTCAAACCTTTTCCAAATGGTGCTCAAAGCTGGCAATTTTCTTGGTTATATGTTTGGCAAACTCTAAACGACACGCAACGATAACGATAGCGGATTTTTCAAAATCGATATAGATACTCGAACTTTGCAAAACAAAAATTTAACATAAGCATTAGAATTTTAAATTAGATTAGCTTCTTGCGCTCATTTATTTTCTCGTCAGTTACATTACTGAGTTAAAGTAGGCTCCCTTTAGTTCTTAGCATCTTGGTGCATATCCACAAACTTGGTTTGTCCCCCAGTGGCAATAACTGCTCCATCAGACTTACGACGTAGCACACACTCAATGTACGCCAATTTGCGTCCAGCTCGCACTGTATTGGCGTCTACCTCAACAATATCACCTGGCATAGCTGCCGCCAAATAGCTCACATTCAAGCTGGTTGAAACGCCAGGATGGGAACCTTTAGACATTAGTGCATAAGTGGTAATATTATCCAGAATAGCGGCTGTTAACCCTCCATGCAAGGAACCCTTGCGATTCAAGTGCTCCGTTTCAACAGTAAACTCGCCAACACAACGTCCATCACCGCCGTCGGTTATTTTCACCTGTCAAAATTTAAAATAGATTAGCGCGCGCTATCGATAACACAAACAATGCACTTATGTAACATTGATGTAGTTCAGCTGTTTGGCCTAGGGATGTAAGTCGAAGGGAAAACATCGATGTTGATGTACATCGATGTCTCTTTATAAAAAATCGATGCATGGTCGATGCGTCGTAAAAAAGAACTTTTCATAGAAAACAAGAGAACGATACAGTCGAGCAAGCCCGACAGTAAAATAGTCTGTACTGTCCACAAAAAAGAACAATTTAAAAAGGAAAAACATTTTTTAAAATTAATTTAAAAAAAAAAAATTGAGTTAATTAAATTAAATTAGAAGACATGTTTATGTTCAGTTTTAACAGTCTTCATGCCTGAACAGCTGCAACAGATCAAACAATCCAATCTGGGCCGCGTGCTCTGCGATGTGGGCGATAACATTCAGCAGGTCACCGAGAACGTCTTCATTTTAGCCAAGCATCAGGGCGGCTACAAGCAGTGCGAGGATATAGCGGGCATCAATCTCTATTTTTGGCAGGATTGCGGCAGCTGCAACAACATGCCAGCACTTTTCGACACATTCGTGCCACAGACTTACACAAAACGCAGTCAGCGCAGCAAGCGTGACACCACTGAACAGGAAGTACCCACGGCCGAGAGTTACGACAGTCCCTTGGAGTCGCTGTACGATGTGAATGAGGAACGTGTGAGTGGACTGGAGGAGCTGATTGGCTCATTCCAAAAGGAACTGAAGAAGTTACACAAGAAACTGCGAAAACTAGAAGATACATGCAATGCCATGGACAATGAACCAGAGCCAGTAGCTGCCGCCCCCGCCGTCCTGAAGCCCAAACGCAGTCATTGCATCGATGACAAGGGCACCACACGCCTCAACAACGAAGTATGGACGCCTGATGTGTGCACCAAATGCAACTGCTATCATGGACAGGTGAATTGCCTGCGTGAAAAGTGCAGTGAGATCAGCTGCCCGCCAGGCGTTGAACCACTAACACCCCCTGAGGCCTGTTGTCCACACTGCCCCCAGATACCGCTCAAGAAGCCGAGCAAATAAAGCGAGGGCGAAGGAATGGGAGCATTAGAAATATGCATATCGACTTAACGTTTAACCAAAACGCGTACCCGTAGTTGTCTCACAAAAACCGAAAACTCTCTCCTTCCTCTTGGCAATGATGTTTATCGGGAAATCCCTCTTAAAGAGCAAACAATTAATTAACAATTAAATAAATGTACTGCTACACATGTAATAATAAAGCACACTGTATCAAAACTAAATATTTTGAACTTTTTGAAAGACGTTACAAGACAAATTGTACTTGCGAGTATTTTTTCCTAATTCGTCTGGAATAATCGGTCCGACAATATAGAATAGCATGTCATTACTGAAAATCGACGAACTTTGTCTGATGTCCTTTAGCTATTACTGAGTTATCCTTTTTATGACGTAGCACACAATCGATAAAGGCCAACTTTTTGCCTGCTCGCACCGTCTTCGCCTCAATAAGTACTTCATCGCCCTCTCTGGCACCCTTTAAATAGCTTACACTCAAGTCCACTGACACACCGGGATGGCAGGGCTTGGACATTAAAGCGTAAGTTGTAACCATGTCGACTAGTGTGGCTGTATAGCCGCCATGTAGACCGCCGCCCATGTTCAGGTGTTCCGGCGCTACTTTGAACTCGGCCGTACAGACGCCATCGCCACCGCCCGTGATCTTCACCTTCAATTGTAATTTTGTTATCGCATTTGTTTTATGTATTAAATGAAGTCAAACCTTTTCCAAATGCCGCTCAAAGCCCGTGGATTTGGCAATTATCTCGGTTATATGTTTGGCAAACTCCAAACCTTTCTTTCTTGTACCCATTTGTTTGGCAAATTTGTTACGACACACAACGATAACGATAGCGGATTTTTCAAAATCGATATCGATGTAAACTTTGCAAACAAAAATTTAACATAAGCATTAGAATTTTAAATTAGATTAGCTTCTTGCGCTCATTTATTCTCGTCAATTACATTACTGAGTTAAAGTAGGCTCCCTTTAGTTCTTAGCATCTTGGTGCATATCCACAAACTTGGTTTGTCCCCCAGTGGCAATAACTGCTCCATCAGACTTACGACGTAGCACACACTCAATGTACGCCAATTTGCGTCCAGCTCGCACTGTATTGGCGTCTACCTCAACAATATCACCTGGCATAGCTGCCGCCAAATAGCTCACATTCAAGCTGGTTGAAACGCCAGGATGGGAACCTTTAGACATTAGTGCATAAGTGGTAATATTATCCAGAATAGCGGCTGTTAACCCTCCATGCAAGGAACCCTTGCGATTCAAGTGCTCCGCTTCAACAGTAAACTCGCCAACACAACGTCCATCACCGCCGTCGGTTATTTTCACCTGTCAAAATTTAAAATAGATTAGCGCGCGCTATCGATAACACAATACAATGCACTTATGTAACATTGATGTAGTTCAGCTGTTTGGCCTAGGGATGTAAGTCGAAGGGAAAACATCGATGTTGATGTACATCGATGTCTCTTTATAAAAAATCGATGCATGGTCGATGCACTTACATCCCTAGGCCAAACAGCTGAACTACATCGATGTTTTAAAAAAAAACTTGCATAAAAAAAAGCTATTATTAGGGAGCAAATTAACATAGATGCTTGAAATAAAATATATATATATATATCTAGAGAGACTGTCATAGCATTTTACTCAATATTGTTAATCAAAATAGTACTCTTAACTCTTGACTTTAAAAACAAAAAAATGATTATGTATATACAGTTTTTAAAACAACGACGCGTTGCAGATACACCTTTTAGGCATATTAAGTGTGACATTATATACGAAAAAAGAAAGATCAAATACTTAACAATCTAAAATGTATATTATAAAATAACATTTTAACGAAAACATCATAAAAACATCGTCGATGCTCAATACATCGATGTTTTTTTACATCCCTAGTTTGGCCCACACAGTTTGCCATCACTAATATGTTGCATTTAAACAGTTTTTATCCATTACGTGCCGTTTTTGCCGCTGCTAACTCACCATATGAATGACACCGTCGAAACTTTTGCACTTGGCGCTATATTCAGCCACTGTTTTAAGGAAATCAACGCCACGCTTTGCGGCCATTACACTGCAGCTTCTCCGCCTGAACAAACACAACAACCGTGCTCTCCGAAATGACGAAAGCTACTGAGTCTAGCAGTGATGGTGAGGAATATTATCGCGAAATGCTTTAGATTTATTTTAATTTTATTAAATTATAACTACACATTGCAGGTCTAAGATTCGTACAGCTTACCAGAGCTGAGGTGAAACAGGATGCCGTTCATGATTTTGTGGCGCATACCGCAGATGGCATTCACATTGCCATGATTGGCTCTAAAACGAAAATCATCACACTAGAGTTGACTACAAAGGTCAACTGTCATGGTCCGTCTCCATACACCTGCGCCGTCTACGATTTACGCATGGAAAGACCGTTGGACAAACTGGCAAAGAAAGTAAATCTCGCCAAAATCTATGATAGCTGCGATGTGCTGGAGACACAGAGTTTGACTTTGGAGCCGGTCTACATTGCTAACTGCTCAACAGAGGTGCCGCCGGCTAAATTAGTCGCAGCCAATTGGGCACCCATGCCTCTTAAAAATGGTCAAATGTTGCTTGCTGCATGGCTCGCTTATGTTTCTGTCGCAGCCGTCGGGGCACACACGGTGGCGACGACTGGAGGGCTTAGATGTGGCCGATACACTAAATGAAACGACATGAAAGACATTAAAGCAGTACAAAGCCTACATGGATCGTTCCTGGATAACGTCATTTGCCTGGTCCATACATGAGAAAAGCGACACGCAACAACTGCTGCTCGGCACCGCCTCGGGCGGACTGTTTACGTTACATTTGAGCTCAGATGCCCAGGTTGTGCTCCAACATCAGCAGTTCCAAAGCACATTGGGCCGCATTTGTTACATACGCGCATTCAAAAAACTAGTAGTGGTGGGCGACAATAACGGCCTGGTTCATTTATACAATCTAAGTAACAATGAGGGGGGCCTGTTCCTTTTAAAAGCTCTGTGGCTGCGCCCGGATCGCGTAGGCACACAATATGTTGAATTGACATATTGCTTTAAATATGATTGTTATTTTATAGCTATATGCAAAGGTGCACATCTGCTGGTCTGGTGTATGCCAAACTCGAAAAATGATCCCTGGCTAGAGGCGCAACTCTATGTGGGTGGCACTAAGATTACAGGTGACTAAGAATTATTTCATGAAACTCGATTTATCTACATCAATCCTAAATTCTTCACAGGTCTCAGCGCTCTAAGCAGCAACGTATTTGCTTTGACAACAGCGCGCCAGGAACTAAAACGTGTAGAACTAACTCTTAGCATGAGTAATAAGCAGACTCAGTTGAGTCTCAGCATGGAACCCATTGAGATTGAAGACTGTGAAAATTATCAGCTGCTAGGCGTCTTCTGCAGCCGGCACAAGAATCTCCTGTCTGTTCTCCAATTTCGGAACGAGGAGTCCGAAGTGACCACAGCACTGGCTCGTCATGCCACGACCATAAGATTAGGAAAACTTCACAAAAGCAGTGCGTTGGATCAACTTAGCGTTGTACTCGAGCCAAACAAAGGAGCAGATTGGCTCATTCCAAAAGGAACTGAAGAAGTTACACAAGAAACTCGAAAACTTGAAGATACATGCAATGCCATGGACAATGAACAAGAGCCAGTAGCTGCCGCTCTCGCCGTCCTGAAGCCCAAACGCAGCCATTGCATCGATGACAAAGGCACCACACGCCTCAACAACGAAGTATGGACGCCTGATGTGTGCACCAAATGCAACTGCTATCATGGACAGGTGAATTGCCTGCGTGAAAAGTGCAGTGAGATCAGCTGCCCGCCAGGCGTTGAACCGCTAACACCCCCTGAGGCCTGTTGTCCACACTGCCCCCAGACACCCCTCATCACCCTCTCTGGCACCCTTTAAATAGCTTACACTCAAGTCCACTGACACACCGGGATGGCAGGGCTTGGACATTAAAGCGTAAGTTGTAACCATGTCCACTAGTGTGGTTGTATAGCCGCCATGTAGACCGCCGCCCATGTTCAGGTGTTCCGGCGCTACTTTGAACTCGGCCGTACAGACGCCATCGCCGCCGCCCGTGATCTTCACCTTCAATTGTAATTTTGTTATCGCATTTGTTTTATGTATTAAATTAAGTCAAACCTTTTCCAAATGGTGCTCAAAGCTGGCAATTTTCTTGGTTATATGTTTGGCAAACTCTAAACGACACGCAACGATAACGATAGCGGATTTTTCAAAATCGATATAGATACTCGAACTTTGCAAAACAAAAATTTAACATAAGCATTAGAATTTTAAATTAGATTAGCTTCTTGCGCTCATTTATTTTCTCGTCAGTTACATTACTGAGTTAAAGTAGGCTCCCTTTAGTTCTTAGCATCTTGGTGCATATCCACAAACTTGGTTTGTCCCCCAGTGGCAATAACTGCTCCATCAGACTTACGACGTAGCACACACTCAATGTACGCCAATTTGCGTCCAGCTCGCACTGTATTGGCGTCTACCTCAACAATATCACCTGGCATAGCTGCCGCCAAATAGCTCACATTCAAGCTGGTTGAAACGCCAGGATGGGAACCTTTAGACATTAGTGCATAAGTGGTAATATTATCCAGAATAGCGGCTGTTAACCCTCCATGCAAGGAACCCTTGCGATTCAAGTGCTCCGTTTCAACAGTAAACTCGCCAACACAACGTCCATCACCGCCGTCGGTTATTTTCACCTGTCAAAATTTAAAATAGATTAGCGCGCGCTATCGATAACACAAACAATGCACTTATGTAACATTGATGTAGTTCAGCTGTTTGGCCTAGGGATGTAAGTCGAAGGGAAAACATCGATGTTGATGTACATCGATGTCTCTTTATAAAAAATCGATGCATGGTCGATGCACTTACATCCCTAGGCCAAACAGCTGAACTACATCGATGTTTTAAAAAAAAACTTGCATAAAAAAAAGCTATTATTAGGGAGCAAATTAACATAGATGCTTGAAATAAAATATATATATATATATATCTAGAGAGACTGTCATAGCATTTTACTCAATATTGTTAATCAAAATAGTACTCTTAACTCTTGACTTTAAAAACAAAAAAATGATTATGTATATACAGTTTTTAAAACAACGACGCGTTGCAGATACACCTTTTAGGCATATTAAGTGTGACATTATATACGAAAAAAGAAAGATCAAATACTTAACAATCTAAAATGTATATTATAAAATAACATTTTAACGAAAACATCATAAAAACATCGTCGATGCTCAATACATCGATGTTTTTTTACATCCCTAGTTTGGCCCACACAGTTTGCCATCACTAATATGTTGCATTTAAACAGTTTTTATCCATTACGTGCCGTTTTTGCCGCTGCTAACTCACCATATGAATGACACCGTCGAAACTTTTGCACTTGGCGCTATATTCAGCCACTGTTTTAAGGAAATCAACGCCACGCTTTGCGGCCATTACACTGCAGCTTCTCCGCCTGAACAAACACAACAACCGTGCTCTCCGAAATGACGAAAGCTACTGAGTCTAGCAGTGATGGTGAGGAATATTATCGCGAAATGCTTTAGATTTATTTTAATTTTATTAAATTATAACTACACATTGCAGGTCTAAGATTCGTACAGCTTACCAGAGCTGAGGTGAAACAGGATGCCGTTCATGATTTTGTGGCGCATACCGCAGATGGCATTCACATTGCCATGATTGGCTCTAAAACGAAAATCATCACACTAGAGTTGACTACAAAGGTCAACTGTCATGGTCCGTCTCCATACACCTGCGCCGTCTACGATTTACGCATGGAAAGACCGTTGGACAAACTGGCAAAGAAAGTAAATCTCGCCAAAATCTATGATAGCTGCGATGTGCTGGAGACACAGAGTTTGACTTTGGAGCCGGTCTACATTGCTAACTGCTCAACAGAGGTGCCGCCGGCTAAATTAGTCGCAGCCAATTGGGCACCCATGCCTCTTAAAAATGGTCAAATGTTGCTTGCTGCATGGCTCGCTTATGTTTCTGTCGCAGCCGTCGGGGCACACACGGTGGCGACGACTGGAGGGCTTAGATGTGGCCGATACACTAAATGAAACGACATGAAAGACATTAAAGCAGTACAAAGCCTACATGGATCGTTCCTGGATAACGTCATTTGCCTGGTCCATACATGAGAAAAGCGACACGCAACAACTGCTGCTCGGCACCGCCTCGGGCGGACTGTTTACGTTACATTTGAGCTCAGATGCCCAGGTTGTGCTCCAACATCAGCAGTTCCAAAGCACATTGGGCCGCATTTGTTACATACGCGCATTCAAAAAACTAGTAGTGGTGGGCGACAATAACGGCCTGGTTCATTTATACAATCTAAGTAACAATGAGGGGGGCCTGTTCCTTTTAAAAGCTCTGTGGCTGCGCCCGGATCGCGTAGGCACACAATATGTTGAATTGACATATTGCTTTAAATATGATTGTTATTTTATAGCTATATGCAAAGGTGCACATCTGCTGGTCTGGTGTATGCCAAACTCGAAAAATGATCCCTGGCTAGAGGCGCAACTCTATGTGGGTGGCACTAAGATTACAGGTGACTAAGAATTATTTCATGAAACTCGATTTATCTACATCAATCCTAAATTCTTCACAGGTCTCAGCGCTCTAAGCAGCAACGTATTTGCTTTGACAACAGCGCGCCAGGAACTAAAACGTGTAGAACTAACTCTTAGCATGAGTAATAAGCAGACTCAGTTGAGTCTCAGCATGGAACCCATTGAGATTGAAGACTGTGAAAATTATCAGCTGCTAGGCGTCTTCTGCAGCCGGCACAAGAATCTCCTGTCTGTTCTCCAATTTCGGAACGAGGAGTCCGAAGTGACCACAGCACTGGCTCGTCATGCCACGACCATAAGATTAGGAAAACTTCACAAAAGCAGTGCGTTGGATCAACTTAGCGTTGTACTCGAGCCAAACAAAGGAGCAGATTGGCTCATTCCAAAAGGAACTGAAGAAGTTACACAAGAAACTCGAAAACTTGAAGATACATGCAATGCCATGGACAATGAACAAGAGCCAGTAGCTGCCGCTCTCGCCGTCCTGAAGCCCAAACGCAGCCATTGCATCGATGACAAAGGCACCACACGCCTCAACAACGAAGTATGGACGCCTGATGTGTGCACCAAATGCAACTGCTATCATGGACAGGTGAATTGCCTGCGTGAAAAGTGCAGTGAGATCAGCTGCCCGCCAGGCGTTGAACCGCTAACACCCCCTGAGGCCTGTTGTCCACACTGCCCCCAGACACCCCTCATCACCCTCTCTGGCACCCTTTAAATAGCTTACACTCAAGTCCACTGACACACCGGGATGGCAGGGCTTGGACATTAAAGCGTAAGTTGTAACCATGTCCACTAGTGTGGTTGTATAGCCGCCATGTAGACCGCCGCCCATGTTCAGGTGTTCCGGCGCTACTTTGAACTCGGCCGTACAGACGCCATCGCCGCCGCCCGTGATCTTCACCTTCAATTGTAATTTTGTTATCGCATTTGTTTTATGTATTAAATTAAGTCAAACCTTTTCCAAATGGTGCTCAAAGCTGGCAATTTTCTTGGTTATATGTTTGGCAAACTCTAAACGACACGCAACGATAACGATAGCGGATTTTTCAAAATCGATATAGATACTCGAACTTTGCAAAACAAAAATTTAACATAAGCATTAGAATTTTAAATTAGATTAGCTTCTTGCGCTCATTTATTTTCTCGTCAGTTACATTACTGAGTTAAAGTAGGCTCCCTTTAGTTCTTAGCATCTTGGTGCATATCCACAAACTTGGTTTGTCCCCCAGTGGCAATAACTGCTCCATCAGACTTACGACGTAGCACACACTCAATGTACGCCAATTTGCGTCCAGCTCGCACTGTATTGGCGTCTACCTCAACAATATCACCTGGCATAGCTGCCGCCAAATAGCTCACATTCAAGCTGGTTGAAACGCCAGGATGGGAACCTTTAGACATTAGTGCATAAGTGGTAATATTATCCAGAATAGCGGCTGTTAACCCTCCATGCAAGGAACCCTTGCGATTCAAGTGCTCCGTTTCAACAGTAAACTCGCCAACACAACGTCCATCACCGCCGTCGGTTATTTTCACCTGTCAAAATTTAAAATAGATTAGCGCGCGCTATCGATAACACAAACAATGCACTTATGTAACATTGATGTAGTTCAGCTGTTTGGCCTAGGGATGTAAGTCGAAGGGAAAACATCGATGTTGATGTACATCGATGTCTCTTTATAAAAAATCGATGCATGGTCGATGCGTCGTAAAAAAGAACTTTTCATAGAAAACAAGAGAACGATACAGTCGAGCAAGCCCGACAGTAAAATAGTCTGTACTGTCCACAAAAAAGAACAATTTAAAAAGGAAAAACATTTTTTAAAATTAATTTAAAAAAAAAAAATTGAGTTAATTAAATTAAATTAGAAGACATGTTTATGTTCAGTTTTAACAGCATACATTGTATGTATGCAGCATAAAGTTGGACCAAAGCAACAACAACAACAGCTGTGGGCAGCGGTTTATTTATGGCTATAACTTTCTTCATAATTGACCTATCATGATGGCACTTGGCATACGGACAAATAACTACAAACTGGATGTACATATATGCCAAATTTGATTCAAAAATTCAAAATTCCAAGAATTACCGGAGTTAGGAAAAACACGAATTGTGTGTGAGTGGGGGGGGGGGGGGGGGTGGATCAGAAAAAAAAATAAACTCGTGCTGCCTAGGGCTTAGGGGAACCTGAATGCCGAGTTTGGTTATCCTAGCTATTGTACTTGCTGAAATCGTTGTGCACATACAGACAGACGGACGGACATGCCCATATCGATTTGTCATCCTGATCAATAATGTATATACTTTGTGGGGTCTGCCACGCCTCCTTCTGTGTGTTACATATGTACATTCGCACAAAACTAGTATAGCCTTTCACCCTTTGGGTACAGGCTATAAAAAAGCTATTATTAGGGAGCAAATCAACATAGATGCTTCAAATAAAAAATATATATATATCAAGAGAGACTGTCATAGCATTTTACTCAATATTGTTAATCAAAATAGTACTCTTAACTCTTGACTTTAAAAACAAAAAAATGATATAATGTATATACAGTTTTTAAAACAACGACGCGTTGCAGATACACCTTTTAGGCATATTAGGTGTGACATTATATACAAAAAAAGGAAGATCAAATACTTAACAATCTAAAATGTATATTATAAAATATACATTTTAACGAAAACATCAAATAATTTATAATATAAATATACCTTCTTTGGTAAACCACACAAAGAAATGTGACCGCCCAACAAAACATGTTCGATGTTTGGACAAACATCGATGGATCAACGATGCATCGTTAGCAAAAAAACATTTACGCATCGCGGTAAAAACTTCGTCGATGCTCGATACACCGATGTTTTTTTACATCCCTAGTTTGGCCCACACAGTTTGCCATCACTAATATGTTGCATTTAAACAGTTTTTATCCATTACGTGCCGTTTTTGCCGCTGCTAACTCACCATATGAACGACACGGTCGAAACTTTTGCACTTGGCGCTATATTCAGCCACTGTTTTAAGGAAATCAACGCCACGCTTTGCGGCCATTACACTGCAGCTTCTCCGCCTGAACAAACACAACAACCGTGCTCTCCGAAATGACGAAAGCTACTGAGTCTAGCAGTGATGGTGAGGAATATTATCGCGAAATGCTTTAGATTTATTTTAATTTTATTAAATTATAACTACACATTGCAGGTCTAAGATTCGTACAGCTTACCAGAGCTGAGGTGAAACAGGATGCCGTTCATGATTTTGTGGCGCATACCGCAGATGGCATTCACATTGCCATGATTGGCTCTAAAACGAAAATCATCACACTAGAGTTGACTACAAAGGTCAACTGTCATGGTCCGTCTCCATACACCTGCGCCGTCTACGATTTACGCATGGAAAGACCGTTGGACAAACTGGCAAAGAAAGTAAATCTCGCCAAAATCTATGATAGCTGCGATGTGCTGGAGACACAGAGTTTGACTTTGGAGCCGGTCTACATTGCTAACTGCTCAACAGAGGTGCCGCCGGCTAAATTGGTCGCAGCCAATTGGGCACCCATGCCTCTAAAAAATGGTCAAATGTTGCTTGCTGCATTGAACAGTCATGGCTCGCTTATGTTTCTGTCGCAGCCGTCGGGACACACACGGTGGCGACGACTGGAGGGCTTAGATGTGGCCGATACACTAAATGAAACAATTTTGCCTCCATTCGAAGTACCCGCCAAAAATATAAAGACATTTAAGCAGTACAAAGCCTACATGGATCGTTCCTGGATAACGTCATTTGCCTGGTCCATACATGAGAAAAGCGACACGCAACAACTGCTGCTCGGCACCGCCTCGGGCGGACTGTTTACGTTACATTTGAGCTCAGATGCCCAGGTTGTGCTCCAACATCAGCAGTTCCAAAGCACATTGGGCCGCATTTGTTACATACGCGCATTCAAAAAACTAGTAGTGGTGGGCGACAATAACGGCCTGGTTCATTTATACAATCTAAGTAACAATGAGGGGGGCCTGTTCCTTTTAAAAGCTCTGTGGCTGCGCCCGGATCGCGTAGGCATACAATATGTTGAATTGACATATTGCTCTAAATATGATTGTTATTTTATAGCTTTCTGCAAAGGTGCACATCTGCTGGTCTGGTGTATGCCAAACTCGAAAAATGATCCCTGGCTAGAGGCGCAACTCTATGTGGGTGGCATTAAGATTACAGGTGACTAAGAATTATTTCATGCAACTCGATTTATCTACATCAATTCTAAACTCTTCACAGGTCTCAGCGCTCTAAGCAGCAACGTATTTGCTTTGACAACAGCGCGCCAGGAACTAAAACGTGTAGAACTAACTCTTAGCATGAGTAATAAGCAGACTCAGTTGAGTCTCAGCATGGAACCCATTGAGATTGAAGACTGTGAAAATTATCAGCTGCTAGGCGTCTTCTGCAGCCGGCACAAGAATCTCCTGTCTGTTCTCCATTATCGGAACGAGGAGTCCGAAGTGACCACAGCACTGGCTCGTCATGCCACGACTATAAGATTAGGAAAACTTCACAAAAGCAGTGCCTTGGATCAACTTAGCGTTGTACTCGAGCCAAACAAACCTATGAATCACTATGTAGATATTTTAGCCGAAATGCGGTTGGAAGTTCTGAATCAGATGAATATTGAGAGATATGAACAGTTTGCTTCGCTGGAGAATATGGAATTGGATGAGGAGGCTACTGAAGCACAACAGATGCAACTTCAACTTAAATACCATGTGTTGGACGCAAAGCTGCATGTGCAGGAGACTATGGCGCTTCACTCCAACCAGGCGGACCAAACCAAGCGTGAAATGGGGTTTCTGTTGAAGGTCTTGTCTTTGACGCATATCCGTCTGCGATTGCAATATCTAGTCTCGTTGGAAAAATACACGGAATTCCAGTACCAAACGGCTAGTTGGATGATGGCAGAGAGTATGCGAATGTGCGCTAAGCTGGAGCAGCAGGTGCAGGCGGACCAACAACAGGAACTGCAGGAGGATCATTATCTACCACAAGCGAAGAAACAACAGGCACTAAATGCTATCATTCGTCGATTTCTAGGGCAAATGTCGTCGCCCCTCAAGAAGCTCTACTTAGGATTGGGCTATGAAGCGCCAGCAATTGGAGCACCTACTGATGATAGTGCTGGCGAAATGAGAGAGAAGACTCTGCGTTGCAGGGTGTCTTTCCTGGAGGTAAGTTATTTGTTTTTTTTAAATAACTTTATTAAATAATAATAATAATAATAATTGCCACCCCTCCTGAAAATTCATCGAAATGGGAGGATATACCATATATCTCTGCTAGGTTATTACAATATAGTTTACACAATAGTCGACTCGTTTTTTTTTTATTGACTAATTGGGGTGTGGGTTTCGCTTTCTCTTACAGATAACACCAACGCTGGATCAACATTTCTGCAGCCTGTGTGCCCGCAAAGTCTTGATTGATAAGGCCAAATTATTGGAGTTATACGAGCCTGCTGCCACGATTCTCTGTCCCTTCTGTCGAGGCTCCTTACAAATGGAACTATTTGGCAGCTAATAATGTTACGCATACACTATATGTACATATATGACCAAAAATAAACATGAAATTTTTTATTAAGTTGCTTTCTGTTGTGTCATTGTGTGTTGCATTCAAAATGGTTGCACTCGCTTCGCTGTGTGATCAGGTCTGGCAATTTGGAGGCAAAGCGGTACCCAAATGGCACCCAAACTGCCAGACGCAAACACACAGTCGTCAAGTGCATTATTTAGAATGTGCGTGTCTGGGTTACAATTACATATGTATACTATAAGACTTTCAAAACTGCGAAACATAGATAACGGGACTGGTTTCCATAAGCAATATATCCTGCTCCGCTTGGCGAAGGTCCGCTTCCAATTTACCCTTCCGCTGACGCTTGGCCACCGTATCAATGAGCAGAGACATGGATTGGTATTGCTTGGTCATCTCATTGAGATACTGACGCAAGCCCTCAAGTATTTCAGCACGCTCGGGCGCCTCCATTAATCGCATTCCCGGAATATCCGTTGTCTTGGCTGTGCGATATTCTCGAATGCGGCACAAAGTGCGCATTCGTTCCTCCTCCTTCACGCACTTTTCCCGTGTCTCCGTCAACATCTTCTTAGTCTTCTGGAGGTAGATGGGCACCTTGCCGAAATCCTTGCGACAGATGAACTGCGGCACCAGTCCAGAGTTGAGAACATTATGGCGTGTGCCAATCGGCGTATCCACATACCGAGGCGGCGGGGGACAGGGCACCGTTTTGCCAGCACAACGGATGTTGCGTTTCACAAAGTTCGGATAGCGTGTGGGACGACCCGGAGTCGGCTGACGACGTGGCAATGGAGGCATATCCCGGATACCCTTGGGACACACATGCTCGTTCTCACGGCGCCACTTAACGCCCTGGTTTTTGCGCAGGAAGGCGCAAGGCGGATCTATGTGGGTCTTGGCACAGCCCATGGTGCGATGATCAGCCTTCCTCGCGCTGCATAGCAATCGTAATCCGTCATCTTGGATCACCATTTCGGTCTTCCTAAACTCCGCATTCAGGCGATCGCGCAGTTCTTGGGCGATCTTATTGCCTGCCAAGGGGGCTTATTCAATTCGGATTCGAAAAAACATTTTAACCGCAATCTTACGTACCTTCCAGCAACTGTTTCGAGGAATACTTCTTACGTCCGTGCCCAATACGGGCCGCCTCGTCCATTTCGCTTTCCACATCGAAAATGTTCTCATCATGGTGTGTGATAAAGACCAGCGACATGGCTTATATCTTTTTGTTTTATACGTCGTACGCCTCTGCTAAATATAAGAATGTTTTTGATATTTGAGTTTTAAATTGGGTTTTCGAAATTGTCCAGCACACTTGTCTAACTGACTGACTCCAACCCGATCAGGTGTGTATAATGAGTGCCAATCCCACTTATTCATATATTTATGTGTTGCTATGTTCCAAAGGATATATTTTGTATACGTAAACAACTCGACAAATTCAAATTCCGCGAAACATTCCAGTCTCTGTTACCATGCAACAAATTATGAAAGTTACAGAAAGTGCATAACAACCAACCGTATAACAACCAACTTGTTGCTATACGAAGATAAAACATTAGTGAAAGAAAAATATTTGTATACCCTGTACCCAAAGGGTACAAGGGTATATTAGTTTTGTGCGAGTGTACATGGAACACACAGAAGAAGGCCCCATAAAGTATATATATTCTTGATCAGCATGACAAACCGAGTCGATATAGCCATGACCGTCTGTCTGTCCGTATGAACGCAAGGATCTCAGAAAGTATCAGAGCTAGAATACTTGATATACAGATACTCCTGAGCCCGAGAAAGGACGAGTTTGTTCTTTTTTCCCGATGCACTCCCCCGCTCTTCAAGATTTTCTATAACACCCGTAATTCTTGGAATTTTGAATTAAAATTTGGTAGACACATCCAGTTAGTGAATATATATCCGAATACCATGTTTCATTATGAAAGTAATCACCCTTTGAGGGTGTTATAGCCATATAACCAGGCACAATGCACACATACATACATACAATATGTACAAGTACACCAACACGAATAGACACGATTCTGATGTAAATGTAAATGTATGTATGCATGTATGGAATATTTTATGTTTAATTTAATTAATTAATTAAATATATCATTATTTTTTGATTGCATTATATTTACCACCGGTTCAAGAATGTCGTACTATTTTGATATAATGCATAGGCAGATTATAAAAACACTTTTACACGCAGCAGTATGTAGCAGAAATGCTTGATTTCTTGTAGATCCATTTCCTTTCATGCTCAGTTTTCCGAGTGCAACAATAATTTCGTTAAAATATTTTGTAAAATGGCGTATACAAGCATATTTTTCAGACCAGCACGTTTCACAAAATGAGTGAACATTGGGTACATATTGTCGACGAATGACCGATTCCTTAAAAAAGTTTATGACGTCCTTAATTGTCGAAATAGTTTTTCGAATTTCCGGAACCGAATTTAAATCGTTCAATACCAAATTTAACCTGTGACTGGCGCAGTGAAAATATAGGCTCTTAGTGAACGTTTTCTTTAAAATATTTTGAACACCGCCAATTTTCCCAGCCATTGTAGCGCATCCATCAAAACCTAGTCCCACACATTTCTCCGGTTGAAGATTTATTTCAGTAATGAAATGTTTTATATTGGCAGCTATAGTGTCAGCATTCATAGCCTTAAGCTCCACAAATCCGATGAACTCTTCCCGAATAAGCAGTTTTCCTTCATCAAAAAATCTGATTCCAATAGATAACTGCTCTTTTCCAGACAAATCTGCTGTCTCGTCTGCCAGTATACTATAAGCTGCAGCTTTTCTTATGTCTTCACATATAAATGACTTTAAAACTTTTGAACAGATATCAATAAGCTCGTTTTGAATACTTGGAGACATATACGATGCATTTTTTTGCCTTCGATATTTTTTTTTTAATATTTCGTCTCCAGCATCTATCCTCATCATCAAAAGGTAGTAAAGTACACCTGTATATAAGACAAATATATTTAATAGAAATTTTGACCGCAATAGGCAATATTGGCTACCTTCATCATTTTGTTTTCCTCGTAACGGAAGATCATGCGTACCACAAAATATAATTGTGGAAACAATAGATTTTAAAAATTGTCTATTCTTTTTAATTACTTTTTCATGTCCAGTTTGCATTTTGACATCCACTGGTATCTGTTCCAAAAATAATTTGACAGACTCTACAGCTTCCTTGTGCACATTTGATTCACAGTGAGACTTGCAGTACTCATGAATATTTTTAAACTTCGTAAATGGTCGTATCACAAAAGAAGAAACCACTCCACGTATTTTGTGTGGCTTAAACAGAACGCAGTATATGCAAAAAACTCCTTTTAGTCCGCCTGAATACACCAACCAAGGCTTATACATTTCAAGCCAATTATAATTAAATTTGCGCTTTAGGTGAGTGGCATCAGCAGCGAAATTAGCAGTTGGCGAGTAACTCACGCTTTTGTGCGGAAGTAATATCACTAGGTGTTTTTATCCACATTCCTATATCATATAAATGATAGTCATCTTCAGAATTGATTTATTTTTAATTTTTGGTTAAAAATTCCGCTCTGATTATTCGCCGCGACAGCGTGACCCAGCTGCATATACACACACTGTGTGTGTTATTACAAACTTTGGAAAATAACATTAAGCAGACAGCGAAAACTTAAAATTTACGCAGCTTAAGCTTGCCTAACAGGCAGCTTATTTGTCCGCTTCACCCCCACCCCTTTAGACACCGTCCATCATGGACTGGCAAGCCGTGTCTAGCGCTAGGAAAACGAATGGCAGCAAACCGAAGAAGAAAAAGAACTCCTTTCCCTGGGACTCCGACGACACACTTGAACCGGACGAGCCAAGGAGGAAACCCCCGCGCAAGCATTCCCGTGGAATAGACGGACCCAGTACAAGCAAGGCCGCTGCCGAAGCTCAAGCGAAGTTGGTGACCAATCGATTCGCACCTTTATCATCGGATGAGGACGACGAGTATGATGAGGACGATGACCTGCCAGCCAATTCTGCTCCAAAGGAGAAAGAAAAGGAGAAACCTAAGGCGATCAAGCCGCCACCGATCTTTATCCCGGACGTGACCAACATCAAGGCCCTTGCCAGTAACATCACTACTGTGCTCGGCAAAGACGTGGAGTTCACCTTCAAGGCGACCAGCAACAACAACGTTCGCGTGATGACCCCGGACAAGGAGAGCTACTCCGCTCTCAAGAAGTTTTTGACGGAAACCAATAAAAGGTTCCAAACCTTCCAGCCCCGAGACGAACGCGCCTATCGGGTCGTCATCAAAGGTCTTCATCACTCAATGGATCTGGAGGAAATTCGGGAAGGGCTAAGCCATCTCGGGCACAAGGTCAGAGATCTCTTCAATCCCACCCAGAGAGGCACCAAAAAGCCTCTTAACATCTTCTTCGCCAACCTCGAACCGGCCAGGAATAATAAGGAGGTTTATCAAGTTAAGCGGCTTTGCAGCTCAGTGGTGACGATCGAGCCACCGATCAAGTTTAACGATGTGCCCCAATGCTATCGCTGCCAGGGATTTAGACACACCCAACGGTACTGCCACCTGGAGCACAGATGTGTCAAGTGCGGAGACGGGCACCCAACCTCTGAGTGCACAAACACCAGCAAACCGGCACACTGCCTGCACTGCGAAGGCCCACATGCGGCCTCCTACAAAGGTTGCCCCGCATATAAGAAAGCAAAGAACATGCTCGCTCTAAAGCAGCCAGCTTCTCGTGTCCAACATCCCGCGAACTCCAGTAGGGTTAATCCCAACATCAGCTATGCCAACGCAGCTAAACAGGCAACCGGTGGGACTCACACCTCCCCGCAACCAGACAGTCTGATGGAAGCAATGATGACCAGGATGGAATCCATGTTCCAGAGAATGATAGAGAAAATGATGAGCCAAATCACGCAAATGATGGCCACCGTTTGCAAGTCCCTATGCAAACGGGATTAGACATTACCATTTGGAACGCAAACGGCCTGATCAAGAGCAGGCCTGAGGTCGAGCTATACTGCAAGACCAACCAAGCTGACATTATACTCATTTCCGAAACCCACTTCTCCGCCAGGTCTTACTTCACCTTAAGAGGGTATGACCTTATCCCTGCCAACCATCCAAGTGGTTCGGCCCGCGGCGGGGCGGCCATCCTCATCCGCAGCAGCATCAAGTTCGAGACCCTACCGGCCATCCAAGAGGATTGGGTGCAATGCGCCCGAATTTCCGTCAACACCACTCATGGCGACATCACTGTAGGCGCTGCCTACTGCCCTCCAAGGCATAGGGTCAGAGACGAGGATTTCGAAATGCTCCTGGACAGCCTGGGGCCCAAGTTTGTCATAGGAGGGGACTTCAATGCCAAGCACACCTGGTGGGGTTCCAGAGTCTGCAATCCAAAAGGCAGAGTGCTGTGCAGGCAGGTTCTGTCCCGCGATCTCAAATGCCATGGGACTGGTGCACCGACCTACTGGCCCACCGATCCTGCAAAAATCCCAGACGTTCTGGACATTGCCATCTCCGGTGGCTTGGATTCTGCAAGGATTCTAGCCAGAGAGGTCGAGGATCTCCTTTCGGACCACAGCGCCATAGCTATTTCCGTGTACGCTTCAGCCATGCTGCGAACCGCCCGTAAAAAGCTGATATACAAAACCTCAGACATCAGCAGATACCATCACTGGCTGAACTCCATGAACCCGAACCCACCAATGGACACTCCCGAAGATATCGAGACTGCCGTCGAGAATCTCACCACGCAAATTAAGGAGGCAGCGGCACGTGCGGCACCAAGGCTCTCAAACCAGCTGAGAGCTACCAGCAGGGACGTCCACTTTTGGAATCCCCAAGTAATCGAGCTGAAGACCGAGAAACGGCGTCTCCGACGAGTATGGTTCCTCTCAAGAAATCCTAGAGACAAGACCGCTCTTAACAGAGCCACAAAGGAGCTTAAGGAGGCTTTGGCAAACCTGAGGAAGGAGGCCCTTGACAGCTTCGTAGGACAGCTTGCGCCTGGTGACCCTTACCACAATTTGTGGAATGTCACCAAGCACATTAAGCGGCCGCTCAAGAGGATTCCGCCCATTAAGAAACCAGACGGCTCATGGTGCAGAACAGAGGCGGAGAGGGCCAACGCATTCGCCGAGCACCTGGAGGGAGTCTTCACACCAATTCTTCGATGCTCTCCCTATGACGCAACGGAAACGGCCAGACTCCTGGATGAACCTCTCGCAGACTCCGAGCCGATTCCCCAAGTTACGGAAGA